TTGCACCTCCAAGGGGAGCCTTTGTAAGGCTGCAGGATCCATTTGCAGCCTCAGTGGGTGCTGCCAGTGGCATGTTTGGTCTGTGAGTGCCATCTACAGGGTTCCCCATTGCCCGGGCCCTCACCTGCCCGTTCCAATGGAAGTCCCTGCCAAGAACAAGGTTAAACCATGCAGCAAATGCAGCCACTTGCCTCCCGTGGGGCAGGAGAGCAGGGACACGAGGAACCCAGCTTCTCACTTCTTCAGTGCCACTCATCTGCACAGCTAAGCCTCCACAGCCACCCTCCTTCACGAGATGGGTGGAAAGCAGATGATAGTGCCAGGGAACATCCTTCATTTGATTCAGGCGTTAGTTCTTTGGACTGAAGAGCCAGGATATCCTCATCAGGCTCCCAAATAAGCAAAACGTAACTTGGTTCTCCTGTTGCAGAGAGGCTGGGATCACCCTTGTAGGGACTTTACTGAAGTCTTCTGTACAAGAGAAGGGATTAATGTCCCACAGGGAGGGAGGAAAGGGAGGAGACGCTGGGAAACCGAAACCAACCCTGAGATGACTGGCGAAGGTGAGCAGCAGGCAGTGAGAGACGTGGCCCCAACACACAGGGCAGGTTGATGGTGCAACTGCTGCCAAGCTCAGGCAGAGGGAGCTTCCACGACGGCAACCAGCCCCACAGAACCACAGAGGGAGCAGGTGAAGGGAATGCTTTATTCCACTTGTGTCAGGATACAGGAGGGGGGGATGCTGTAAACCATGGTAAACCAAGCAATTGATGCAGGGCTGGTTGCTATTCAGAAGTAAAGCAGCAACTGAAGCAGGAGGCGAAAGACTCGCTCCCCCCTTCCTGGGAGCACAGGCAACACGATGCACTCAGGAGCTGCTTTATTGACTCCTTGGCGAGCTGCTCAGGCCACAGGTCCCTCTCCCAGCGCAGCAGATCCCGTGTCCAAGGGAAACAAAACAGGAGCACGTTATTAGCACCAGAGAGCCGATGCTCAACTCACGCTCAGTCAATCTCATTAACCTCAGCAGACGGTGCAGTCGATTTGCCTCGCAGCTCAGTATCAACAGCAGAGGATTCGATGCAGCTTTCCAAGAAGATCAGAGGGGCAATTACATAAACTTAAGAGATGAGGCTTTGGCTTTACACGATTGGCATTGTTTCAAGTGAACCCTGCAGCTGTCACTTGTGACACACACAGGCTGGTGACTGCAGCATCGTCCTCATCACCCCGTGCCCATCAGCTCTGACAGCCTTTTGGCACTATTGCCCGGAGCCCTGCACACGCCAAAGTCCCCTCCTGGCCCCCCCAGCTCACTCTGGAGGAAGAAAAGGAGCTGGTGAGGCATCAGCCTGCCCAGGGACAGGCACACGCTGCTCTGAGCAGTGCTGTGTGTTCACACAGGCACAGCCCTGCAGCCACGCAGCTCCCGGAGCGGAGCTGCCTTGCATGCTCAAGAGCACACCTGTGTCTGTGAGCACACGTGTGTTTGTTTGCCTCCATGTATTTAAACCTAGCCTGGAATGCTACTGGAAGATCCAACTCTTGCAGAGACCTATGAGGCTATCAATGCCTGTATCAAATACACATAAAGTACCTAAAACTATAACCCAAGTAACTACTCAGCTGCTCTCTTCTTACAGGAACAATGAGAGGCTTTAAAAGCCACTCTCATTAGCAAGATCAACCCCTCCCAAAAGAGCCTGCACTGATTCCCATGGGCTGTTCCACCGCTGGGAGGAAAAGCTGCTCCGACAGCTCTGATTTATTCTTCCAGGAGGCATGGAGCAGCAATGCCAAGCAACAGACTTGCCCTCAAAGGAGCCTCGCATCTGTGATCAGCATCTTTGTCTTCTCCTCTGAGAAAATGCCTTTAAGGATACTTTAGAACGGAGCAGGAACGCAAGGTCCTGGCCTGCAAAGAGCAAATCCAGAACCAGGCCTCCAGGGTTCAGGATGCTTCAGGGGAAAATGAAAACAGCCACACAGGGGCATTGATGACAGCTCAAACCAGGCTCCAGACAAAACAGGATCAGAGCAGAGAAGTGACAGCAATGCTACGCTATAGCCCCATCATTACATTTTTCCTCTCTACCCTTTAGACTCTGAAGAACTGTGTCCCCTGGGCTGGCAGATCCTCCATTACCATGTGCATACACAGCGTCAAAATCCAGACCTCATTATGTGCTCTGGCTCATTCCTTCCACACCTTTCCCTGCTCCAATTCTAAATTATCTATTACAGCCAACTCAAATTCTAGCAAAATCACGTTCGCGCCAGGACCTGCGGCTCCAGGTCTCCTCTTATCAAAATCACCCAACTTTTAACACTAAAAAGAAATCATCCACTCCTGCGAGGTAAGGAAAAGGCCAAACTGCAACCCCCCCACCTGTCTAACAAGGAGCAGAGCCTAAAGAATGATCAAGCTCATTGCCTCAGGTAAAGAAAGGCCAAGGAAGGGCAGCCAAAAGGCTGAGCAGGGGCATGGCAGTGGGCTGAAGGAGAGCCAGGCTGACCCAGCTCCGGCACAGAGCCCTCAGCTCGGCACAGGGAGCTTGAAGAGGCAGAGAAAGCGATCAGCACGTGCACAGGCCTGCCGGGCTATGCAGGATCAAGGAAGACACGTTACCCCGAATCAAACACATCAGCTCTCTGATCACCCAAGGGGTAGCGATGGCCAGATTTAGCCATTACTCCATCCTCACAGAGGAACGCAGCGAACGCTTTCATCTCTGCATCGGCTAAACAAGCAGAAAGTACCTAAAAGAGGCATGAAAGGATACAAATGATATGAAATTAGGGCACATCCAGGTGCTGTGTTCACATGACAGCTAAAATACTAAAAATATATATATATATATTTAAAATCTTTTGCACGTGTGCAAGACAGCACCTGAGTGACGCTTCTCCAGGAAACCTCACCCACTGCACAGAGAAACGCTGCCCCTCACACCGGAGAGCACCAGGATCACACATCACTCCCTCAACCACGGCAGGAGGGGCCTCAGAGCACCAGAGACCCCCCTGCAGAACCGCCCTTGCTGTTTGGTTAAGGACAGCTCTTTCTGCTAAGGTTTGTCCCCTTATGTACAGAGGATTTGCTAGCTAAAAGGAAGGAACCATTACTCCAAAGCTTTCTCAAACTTCATCTCAAAGGCGAGGTCAATGAGGGAACTCCCTGACCTGCAGGGTAACTCCCTTGGGTTCTCCTAACAAAGGCACTACCAGTTTTGGGTGGGGTGGGACCTGAGGATACAGGTCTGCAGTACCCATAGTTTTCAAGGGTGGGCCTTCCCTTCAAGCTTAAAATGTGCCCTAAACAGGAGCACTGAGCAAGCAGTTTCACCATTGTAGCAGCAGCTCCACCTAACAATGACCTTCTAACACATTCACATTTGGTCCTGGACTCTAAGAACCCAAACACCAACAGGATGGGACACACAGAAAGATCCCAGTTTGCTGGGCGGACACTGGAACACAGCGTGAGTACCAGCAAATGGAGTGAAACCCCAGTACCCTTCAAGAAGAGAGTCATTCCGAGCCAGGGCTGTCTTGGTTTAAGAATCACAACCTGCAGGGGTCTGGGTCCTGTTTTTCCAGCCATCAGATGCTCAGAGACAAGTCACTCATCACACCAGCAGTGAAGGCGCCCGAGCCAAACTGCAGGGCTCCAGCTCTTCCTCAGGTGATCACAGACAGAGAGAGCAGCTCAGCATCCCGCAGCTTGGTCCACGTCACAGCCCACAGGAGCTGGGCAGAACAGTCTGAACACCCCACAAGCCTGATTCCTCTTTTGGGGACCTGCTCCTCGGGGCTAAGTGGCACCTTTTGCTTGTAAACATGTCTTTGTAAACTCATGTCACGACCTGGGACTACCTCGTGTAACTGCTCACCCTGCAACTAGAAGCAAATCGATGCATTTAACTCATACTTGGAACTGACAGGACACTATCCACACCCAGCACTAGTGTAACAGACAACAGGAGTTCTCCCAGCTCCTACCAGATCAGAGTTGATTACAGAGATGCTTCCAAAAGAAGTAACCTAATGCTGCATGAAGGAACAAGGATCAGCCTGTAAAGGAACCCAATTGCCTGATACCTCAAGCTGACTGCCACAGTAAGTAGAGAGGGATGTGAGCACCTATAAAACACACAGCTGCAGCACTTGAGTCCAGAGTGGAAAGATTACAAAGGCTGAGCATCCATCCAGGAGTCACGTTCTCCTCAGCACCTCCCTATGCAGGCAACAGCACCCAAGGCAGCATCACTTCGCTTGCAGCTCCACCCTTCCCTAGAAATGCGTGTGAAGAAAACAGGTTTGGTCCCCTTTCCCCCGCCCCAGCTATGGAAGTGTTTGTACTGTTCATTAAAAGTCATTTGAAGCAAAGACAGAAAACAAAAGTCGAGCACTGGTGATCCCGCTGGACTTGCAGCCCCTTGATCAGTCTGCGCCGTGGGTCCCAAATCACCTGGGAAGAAGAAGACACCCGGCATCAGTGTGAGCAGGGAGAGTGTGGCAGATCACTACCGACCTCACGACAGCTGGGGGAGCTGAGGGGCCAGGCAGCCAGCACACCCGGGCAAGGTTCCCCCTCAGCCTCAAACACCTGCCAGAGAAACCCGACGGGTGTCATCCAGGGGCTGAAATCACAGCACTGGGAAAGCAGGAATGGATGCCTCAACGGCACCGGGAGGTTTAGCTTAGGGGAAGTTCTTGTACTGGGAAAACAAGGAGGTTTTGTTTTCCTGTCTCAGCTTGGACACACGGGCTCTGTCCCTCCTAGGGGCCAGCTGAACACAAAGCAGTGCTCCAAACAACCCGGAGCACGTCCCTTGCAGCGCACTTGGTCACACAGACGAAGAAAGGCGAGATGAAGCCTGTGTGCCAACACAGGCAGACCACACACACGCACAGAAGTGTTAATTTATGCAGCTCTGGTTACAGGATCTGTGCCAAAGCTCCCACGTCCATAGGAAAGGAGCTTTAGCCCCTTGCGAGGAGGAGAGAAATGCACGAACCAGGCGCTTACCGCTGCAGGTTCCTCATCTCAAACACCGTGTCCTCGTCGCTGTCGAGCGAGCCCATCTCCGTGTTCTCGTCGTAGCTCGACAGGAGCCCGTATTTCTTCCGCTGAGGTTTCTTCAACCTGAAATGAGTTTTTCGCTCGTTTCTGGCTCCCTCTGACCTAGGGCTGGGGAACACAGAGCGCAGGGTGAGGGAAACGGGGCCTAAATGAACGGGGCTGGGAGGCGCTTCATGGCTGCTCATGACCTGCGGTAATTAACAGCGCTGTGAGTTCATAGCAGCGCTTCTCACCCCCGCTGCAAGGGGGATGCGCAGGGAAGCAAAGCTCCGGCCCGGCAGGAGGAGGAGGAGGGAGGGGGAACCCAAAGCAAACGGGGCTCGGCCGCGGGGCCCCGGGAAGGGGACCGAGCCAAGCCGGGGCTGTTCCCCGGGCCGGGCCGCACTCACCGGAACGCCCGCAGGAGGAAATAAAGCGCGGCGAGAGCCGAGAGGGCGCTGAGCACATAGACCGCCCGCTTCAGCACCGGCAGCCCCGACCCCGGCAGCAGCCCTGACCCTGGCGGGCGCCGCGCTCCCGGCGATGGGCTCGGCTGCGTGCCGTTACCCGCGGCCGCCCGGGTGGCGCCCGTGGCGTTGTTCGGGCCCGGGGTGGGCGGAGGAGCGGCCCGGCCGCCGTGCGGCAGCGGCAGGAGGAGGAGGACGAGGAGGAAGAGGAGGCAGAGGGGCTCCGGCCGCAGCATGGCCGGGCCGGGCGCCGTGGAGCGGAGCCTCGGCGGGGCGGGCGCAGGAAGGCGGCGGGACGGTGCCGCGCAGCGCAGGCCCCGGCCGGCCCCGGCGGAGCCGCACGCCGCGTTCCGGGGCAGCGCCGTTCCGGGCCGGCCCAGCCGCAGGCTGCGACCGACCGGGCTCCGCTCCGCTCCGCCTCCGAGGGCGGCCGCTCCCCGCTCAGCGCCGCCGCTCCCAGCGTTTCTAACCCCGCACAGCGGCTCCGGGGTCTCAGCCACCGCTTGGCTGCGAGCTCCCCCGAGGAAGCAAACGGCGTTTTGTATAGAAACGGTCCTCCCCCCCCTCCGCAGATGTCGCGACAGGCTCCGGCCCCTTCACCCCGCATGCAGCCCCGTATCCCTGCTCCCTCAACCCACCCGGCGCCACGATGAGCACTGCCAAAAAGCAGCGGGTCGCTGTCGATGGCTTCTGCCTGCGTTTAAGCACCCGGTCTCAAGGAAGGTCTTTCAAATAGCACTTGGTGCTTCCAGCTTGAATTTGATTCAACACCCGTCTGCAAAGGATTCTCACGTTGTGATATAATGCCCCAGTACCATGCACATCCCCTTGGTGCATTGCTGGACACAGCAGCCAAAATGTGGTGCCTGTTGTTTTTTTTTTAATCCCGTTCATTCAGGTAATTTGAAAAAGGTTAAAAAAAAGGTTTGAGGAAGGAAGCTCCATAATCATTCCCATTCCACAGACACAAGCAGCCCCAGGGCTCTCATAGTCCCGATGGCTCTAAAGCAGCAAGACCCCTGCTCGCCACCATGCAAAGTCCTTTGCGCCTGGGACTCCCCAGCAAGATAAAAGCATCTCTTAATGAGAGCACAAGGTTTTAAAGCTGCGTTACCACTTAATTAGTTTATTTATACCAGCCAAGCATCCCGCACCTCCATCACTGCTGCCTGCTCAGGGGAGCTGACTCAAGGAACAGAGCAGGAGCAGCAGCTACACCTCAGCAGGCTGGCAAGCCCCAGCCTGCCTCAATAACCAGGCTTTAGAGCCCAGAGAACACACCATCAACTCTGCCCTTCAAACACCCTGCAGCACTCGTTGTCATTGTCACCAGACCCATGTGATGTCTCCCAAGTCACTCGAGCTGTACGAGCAGGCTTCTTTGCGTAACACACTATTAAGAGTGTCCTTCAAGCAGGGCAAAGCACAACCAAAAGCCAGAGAGGCAACAGTAAAAAGGGGGAAAGGCAAGGTAAAGCAATCAACTGCTCTTTCAACACAAAAAAAGATGGGCAGGGTAGCAAAGACCATCAGAACCCCTCCTCCTGGCCTACAATACCAGTGCAGCCTCCTGCCCCATTCTCTTTAAAGCTGCCTAAAACACATTCACAGCCACCAGCCTCTCTGGCAGCATAAATCCTCATTACCGAGCTGCCAAGTTTTCAGGTTTGAGCTGAGAACAAGACCTCTTTGTTTCCTGAGCATCAGGTCACAGAGTGGTTCTGGCAGGTCTCACTCTCATTTTGGAGCCCCATGCCAGGCCATCAGCAATTAAGTCATCTAAGCTGCTACCTCTGTGAGCAGCAGAAACACATCTGAGCTTTCATCAGCAGAACTTCAACTGCTCCGATGCATGGGGAAGGAAATCATTATCCAAACTCAAAAAATAGATTTAGCACTTAAGTGCAAATTACTTTTGTATTTTCTACCATTTCAAGTGGAAGATCAGCCTCTGTTCTACAAACACCAGCTCCTTGTTCATGTGACTTCTCAGTCAACAGCTCCCTTCAACAACTGAAGTTCTGCAGACACACAACCTTCACGTAATTCAAGGTTATGAGATGCAATTGACTTTCTTCCCCAAACTTGCCCTTGCAGTTGCTCTCCGTTCACCCCCCAACCAAAACAGCACAGGTTTCATTTTGTATTTTTAACTGGGCTATACACCAGATACCCAGATCCTCTTTTACACCTGGGCCACATCCAATATTCCTGTGTTTTCCCCACAAAAGCACTATAGAGATTCATGACTTTTTCCACATTCCAGTATTTTATTCCAGCTTAACTAATTGCCTTGCTCCATTGATCTATATAAAAAGACCAGAAACACCCCTGCTCCAAGCTCTTCATCTCCACCTCTCCAGTAAGTGGCCATTCTTCTGGGTCTTCTGATAAATTTCATTGCTGCAATGAAATGAAGACATAGAATTTAAAGGGAGACAAAAACCCCATGGAAATTTTCACCTAAAAAAACACCAGTCTTGACATCACCACCAAGAGAAACAGGGAGAACCTGCTGGTTCAGGCAAAGGGACTGAAGAGACCTTACCTGGGTGGCAAACTCCCATGCTGGTCCCGATTCCTCAGAACGAAGGCTCTCCTTTCCTCAAATCCCCACTCGGCTTCAGTGTTGAGTATCCCTCCTCTCTTCAGCCTGCCAAAGCAAAGGTGCATTAATAGAGGTATCAGCTGGAGACTTCACATTGCCACCCGCCTCCCCCAGCACGAGTCACATCAGATACAAGGGTTTCACAAGCCATTCGCTGAACCCATCACACCACAGAAGCACAGTCTGGGAAAACTGTTCCGGGCTGGCTGATGCCTTGGACACACCAGCCAATGTATCATTTGATCCCTAAGCAGAGAGTTAACCACTTTGACATGGCTGCTTAGGAGGTGTGGGCTATGGGAAAAAGTTAATGGCAACAAGTAGGATGGCAAAGAAAGCTACAATTAAAGTGAGCAACTTAATGAAGTCTAGAAAGATTCTCAATAGATGAACACATATCGAGTCAGGGAATTCATTTCCCATCTTGCTTCCATACCTACTAGCAAGACATGACTGCATGCCCATCTCTGATCTGTGGAACCGAAGTTGTGCCACAAGCCAAAGGTTGCATACGGCATGGGTTACAATTTTTCCCTCAGTTGACCAAAATTGCCAAAGGAATATTTCACAGGTACATTAGACTTTCAAATGAGCTCTCAACAAGAGGAAGGATGCGGACATGAGCAAAAGGAGTTACCTCGAATTACAGGACTATTTCCACATATGAACTAGCCAAGAGAGCAGCTTTCGTCTCAGAGGTTTCTGTTGGAGGCACAACACTTCTTTTCTCCAAGGACACTGCAGTTTTCATATGCTAGCAAAGAATTCTTAGAACTTGTAAGGCAATGACAAAGCTACCTAATCACGGCAATTTACCTACCAGTGAACACTTTTCAAGTTCCTACCGAGTCCAGTTACTAAAGGACTGATTCTTTACTACAGCTTGTCAATGTAGGCTACTTCAGCATTAAGGAAACATCAATCATCCTACCTAACACTGGCATTCCCTCAGCTGCTGACTTAGGCTTTGAGTGCTGAAGCATCCAACAGCATGTGCTTTCAGTCCTCGTATGTGAAAGTATGTTCAATTCACATGTCAAGACCGATTCAGATTAGAATCTAGCAGCTGGTCAATAACTCTGGCTTGCTCTTACACTGCCACTTGCTTCTCCTCTGACATCCTCTACTAAAGACTGTTCTTTTGTCTTCAAGGATTGTGTTGTGCAATGAAATGTACATGTCAGGAGCAGAGTTCATTTCAGACGGTCTTTTAATAGGCTTCGTAAAGCCAAAGAAAACTGTATACAAGAATCCTTTACCACTTCAAATACAATATCAATGGAATATGCATATTTCTTCCAGTAAAAAAGGACAATATAAATAAACATTTTCAAGAACCTCTTTTATGGTAAGTTTGCAAGTCTATTTCTGGGTAATTTACATCATTACAACAGTAAAAATACCGTTATGCAGGTTGAACATACAAGCAAGTTTCTCTTTAGATATATCAAGGTGGTTTGCCTTCCAATCTGTACCCAGGCTGCATTCCTACCTTGCTACACTAAAGGAATGTTACAAAAGACGAAGGTAATGCACTTAAAAAAAAAAGGTAAGTCCACAGCTTGTTCAGCTTCCAGTGAACATTGAATTAAAGGTCCTTTCTATCTCAAAAGAAACTGAATGGGGGCCCCAACTTCACCACTTACAAAAGAGAAAACACCTTGGCTCATCATGGGAGGGCAAAATAAAACGTGAAGTGCTTTCAAAAAAAGATTAAAAACACTTGAAAGCCGAGCTTTCTTAAAAGGAAAGTCTAATCAGACCATCTCGTATCAGAAGCTGTCAGGCTGTGTTTGACAAGATTCAAACTGATAATACTACAAAAGTGGAAATACAAGTAGATGTACTACACAATAACCATTTCAGCGAAGCTCCAAAAATCTTTATAAATACAGCCATTGGAAGGACGATCTTGAGTCAGGAAGGATTTTTACTCGTTGTGTGTAGCTGAGGACAAGAAGCAGGCACAATTGTAAAGGCACTGAAGCATAGACAAGTTCCAGCATTTTACTCCCTTGCATTATTTCAGAAGCTAGTGCTAGTGGGCTACATCGCAAGAGAACTTCCCCCACCCTTGATTAAAGTTTGTTAGGGCATCCGAGTTTTGTCTTTAGTCTCAAGCTTGAGGAATGTATTTTAAAAGCTCCCTTTGCCTTAGATCCAAGCAACTCCTACACATGCATTACAAATTAGAAACTTAACTGGCACAACCACGTCCAAAGCCTGACAGATTGGTTCTTACGGGCAAGAACGGCAATAGCGGTACAGTCCGACTGAGCATCTCCAGACTCAAAGTACAGGGTCAGAAGGTTTAGAGTTCCTACAGCAAACGTACTTGTCATTCCCATTTGAACCAGGGCTTACCGTAACTGTCATAGCTGTCTCTGTATGATCCTCCTGATGACCTGTCTCCATAGCCACCTTGACTCCTGCTGTGAGAAACATTCACCCGCTTTATATTTGCTCAACTGCTCCTGGAGCCTACTGACACATATGCCCACGAGGCAATGAGCTTAAAGAGCTTTGCAACAGCCCACTAGCGCGTGGGATGACTTTACCTGCTATTATAGTAGTCTCTGGAGCCATTATATCCCCCACTTCTGGAATCAAATCTGCTTCCGCCATAGCCTCTGTCACCACCACCTTGAACAAACACAGGTCACGGGTTTCTAAGCATCCTGACAACCACCACCACTGCCCCCCACGCCTC